TAAAGAAAAGTCCACTATCCTTTACTGTGATGCCTAGGTTCTCAGGATAACTATTCCCCTAATTGTTAATAGCATTTTGTTAACAGTCTCAGTCAACTTTTCAATTACTAATTCAGAGATGAATACCAGGGTTGAATCATAACAAAAGTGGAAGGGGTGAAATGTGCTAAATACAAGGCACTTAATGAAGCAGAGAATTAGAAAGACTTTGATGACATGCACTATTGGTGTGTTTATAAATAGTCTGAAAAGTATTCAAGATGAAGGAAGCAATGACTAGAACAAATTCAGGTCATAGACCATAAGAAAAATTTGTGCTTTAGCTGTTTTAGATACTAATGACCCCAGATTCAACACATTAAAGAAGCTCCGGATGGAGGTTTAATAGACATTGATATTTTTATTTAGTTGTTGTTTGCAAGTAGCAAGCTGGGAAAACCACTTTTCTTCCAACATGGGAGTACAAAAATGACAGATAAAAGTGGAATAGAAACTCTGGGCTGGATATTAACAAGATTGAAAACCCTTTAGATAGTGGCCCACATGTTGCAGCAAACCCTTTTAGGTGGGATGACAACAGCAATCTTTCAATTATCACTGACCAGATTGGCTGCAAAAGCCTTTTCTACCTCATCATGCCAGGTCATTGGATCTTGATCCCCCGGTGAAATCAGGTAGAAAACAAGATTTAACTCTCAGTGGGAACATTAATTTGAGTGGCTAACATGACTTGCATTTGTTGAATTAGTAAACTGATCTGGGTGGCCAAATTGTTGATGGGATTATTTGGATTGGGTGGTTGGGCAGGGTTTGGCTGCTGCAGAGGGTTGGCAGGATTTTGTTGAGCCATTACTCTTTTCTGGATCAAGATAAGTTTCCTATTTACTTTTCTTAAGGTGGGATTCAGTTAGTTATGTTTTTCTAGAAGGGTTTATATTTATTTGATAAATGATTTTATGAACGATTGGGAGAGATGAAAATTTGATTCCTCTGAAGAAGGTGGGTATTGGTTAATTTTATTATGAATTATTGGGGAATTGAATGTTCGATTTCACACAATCGGTACCAATTGTAACCGTTGTTGGGAGAGCTTAATAATAATATGTAGAATGAAGGCCAATTTATCTCCACGTACACCGTTGGAGTTAAATTGGCCTTTATTCTACATATTATTATTAAGCTCTCCCAACAATGGTTACAACGCTAGATTTGTAGAACTTCTAACACTAACCAAATACTTTCATAAAACCCGCTAAAATGCATATTTTTAAAAAATTTCCCCATATTTCTAAGGTTAATCAACTTGTGATACCATGTAACATTTAATTATCTGATATTTAGGTGGTGTGATTACACTAAATTTGAACAAAAGTAAATTTTACTTACACCTTTTTCACTTTGACGTACATCTCCCCTTCTCTGTTAATTTAATGTACAGTCAAAAGTATATCAAATTCCTTGAAACGCTATGTAAAGCCATAAAATAATTTTATACACACTCCCTGCTGCATTATTTGGCATAGTAATAGGGTCGGAAACCATTTAATATAAACATATAAGCAATACTTAAAATTTAACAGATGTAAACTTACGATTCGATCTTCACAACATCCCCGAGATCATTCCAGCTAAAAGACTTTATTGCAACATCAGTTGTGACAGAATCTTTCTGATTGGTATTAATTAAACACCATCTCATTATTACGTTATTCAATTCATTATTTCGTGTGGTTTTAGCATTATTTTGTGAGATATTCAGATTTAAACTTGATTTCGAACCATCTTTAATACTGGCATGAATAACTTGATTTTTATTAAGATTTTCTGGATCAAAGCTGGTGATAAAGATGAATGAATCAGACAGCCTATCAACTGAGATGCTAATATTACAATTAACTGGGAATTGACTTGGCAATGGAACTTCTCCATGTAATATTTTAATATCACGGTATGTCTGCTAAAGAATCCATATCCATTGGCAAGAACTATCCAAAAAATTTTTGCTCCAATGGGAATGCTGGTAAGATATTTTATCATATTAGTAAAATTAATTTTACATTGATATATCAAACTTTAGAAACATTTTAAACAACCTTATATTTTCAGTTTTTTTATGAATTATGGGTCGGCATTCATATTGATTTGCTAAACTAAATCGTATCATTATATCCGATATTTTTAGATCACCAGCAACAATTATTTTGACCGAACATTTTGCAATCATTATCTTGAAGAGGCTGTACGAATTTAATGTTCACATATGTTGGATTTTCGTGATCAATGTTCGTGGCATCAGTTATTATAATAAGATTTTTATCTGAAATTATATCTTCTATGAAATTCTGTGTTTTTTTGGGCAAAACCTTATATAAAGGGACCAAATCTTCATGTCTCAATATTATCCATTTTTTGTCTTGGTTTAAATAGTTTCGGATATTTTCATATTCCTTTACAATTTCATCATTAGAATTTAATAAGGATTCATCTAAATGGTTCATTAATAAAAAATGTAGTTTCTCTTTCTCCACAAAGAGTCCACAAGGGTCAAAGAAAAATATATTTAAACCGTTTGTTAATTTACTCCAATCATTGAATTTTCCCAAAATTTGTTCTTGCAAAACAATTCTATCATTTGTGTTCAAGAAAAGTTTGTAGTCAGATCTGGGTTCATTATTATTAGTAGTGTAATTATAAATTCTTGATAAGCTCCAACCAAGAATTATTATTTGAGGCCAAAGATGCCCAAATTTATCAAAAACTTTTTTCAAACTTTGAAACGGAAAATCATCCTCAAGTGCTTTGTCTACTGCATTTTTAAGATCCACTGAAGCTTCAACTTTATCTACATCAATCACTAATTTGATTTTTTCTGATGTTATAAAGCAGTGTATTTCAGAAGTTGGCTGACTGTCAAATAAAGGGTGGAAATTATCGTCTGTGGTTTTTTTAGATAAAAATGGAATTCTAATAGCGGTATTTAATTTAATACGATGTGTTAAAGTAAAAGCCTTCCTTTTGCTGGCAGGTTGACGCAAGTGCATATATGAAGTATTTAATGTATATACTTCAGGTATTTTAATAAAGTCAACAACAGCGCGTTGCCCATGCCTTATATTGGGTGATTGAATAGTTAATCTGTGGCGTAATTATAATTTCATAACCCAATAACATAAATGATTTTTGGTAAATTTAAAGCCCATGTATTTAAGTCTTTGCATGCGTTTAAATCCTTGTCATCAAAACCGGCAATATGTGGAATAAGCTTGAAAGGTTTTTTAATAAATTTTCCAAGGTATCTTCGCATATTTTGTTTGACATTGTTTTCAAACAATTATATACTGGAAATTTTATTGTAAGATATAATATATCCATTTTCATTTACACAAAGGTCATCCATCAAAGTCATTAATTGTTGCCCTGTAACAATTTTTTGTTCATCGTCTCTCTGTTCATCGTCTTTCTGTTCAACTTTCAATGTAAAATGGTTGCTAAATGGGATTTTATTAAATACGTTAGGTATTCCATTATTAATATGATCATAAGTCCAGTATATTTGAGTTTTCAGAATTTCAATGTCTTGTGAAAGTGATTGACCATCTTTATGCGAAATCATAAGAACACCGCCAATATCAACATTCTGAATTATAAATTCACCGTATTCCTTAAAAAGATTTATAAGAGTTCGTGAACTGATTTTTGTCTGACTTCTTCAATGCTTCCTTAAATGTTTCAGTAAATTTATCAATGACTTTACAATCTCTATATTCGACTTGGTAATAAGAAAAATGTAAACGAATACTAATATTTCTCTGTCTTGATCAGAAAAAATAGTCTTATTATTTAATTCATTAATTTGAATTTTATTTGTATAAATGTACATAATCTTTTCTTTCCAATAGATTTTACCATCATCCGTAAGAATTTGCTTTCCATAAACTAATTTATGATCGTAAATATTTAATCCATCGCGCAAATTCCATTTTTGTAAAAACGATACTTTATCAATCTCATGCATATCCTTAACACAAAATCATCAGACTCTGAAGACGTCTGACGGCATTCGTCTGAGCCATCAGGTATTATATCATTTGTATTGATTTCTTCAAGTCTTTTCAAGATGTCAAAGCATTTTAGACTGTCACCTAGAAATAAATAAATCGTATAAAAATTCAATAGTCTACTGTATAATAGATTTATAATGCTCATATTCGCTTAAATAATCTGTTAAAGGTACGCCTGTGAAAAGATTTCTTCATTCACTTATGATCTGAATTCATCACAAAACCTTTTATGCTCAAATAAATAATATTATTTTAAAGATTCACTCTACACGAATAGTTGGTATATATGGACTGCGTCAATAAAAATCAGGCAGACTTCTCTAATAATCTGCATGATTCCAGCACTATTATTTTCCTGACAACCACTTTCCCGACAATGTCGAAATCCCGACAAGTTAGTCCGCATTAGGTTAGGGTTAACGTTAGTTCCGATCAATTTTTGTCGGGATTTTGTTTGTTGGGAAAGTGGAAAAATGATAGAGACTCATCTGATTCCTGTTGACAACAGCCATATCTTGATAAACATAAGCCACATTACTGGATAACTAAAAGTTTACATTCAAATAAACTTTGTAACAATCAGTTTATATAATTACATACCTGAAGATCTCCAACAGTCTTTATACAATTCCGAATATTTAACAGTACACTTTTCTCTTCCATCTTCAACAATATACTTGATCATTTTATTGCATGGAAACCATTTATCACATGGAAATTCCCTGAAGGGCTGATAGCAACTCGAAATCTGCCAAAGTATAACTCCTAAACTATAAATGTTGGATTTTTGAGAATATTTACTACAATCGACAGGATATCCATGTGTCAACACTTTAATACACCCAACTTTAGAATGCTGTTGAGAATATAAATGTTTTGGGTTCTGGTTAATTAAATAAATTGATTTAATTAATTAATACATCTTATAAACAATATGTAATTTTCATCAAGACCTTGCCATCTTTCTCATGATTAATGTGTTATACATATGGTCATGTTTGTTGATAATCACAATATTCAATTATTGTTCCAAAATTTCAAACTAAATTATGCAAAATTGAATATAATAGCATGAATTCATAATTCAGTAATTTACCAAATTTAAATGTATTATACCCTGATTATGAAGGAAATCCAGCCTCCGGCCAGTTGCTTTGTAAGGTCTATTTTTCGGTCCCAGGGCATTCCTAGATGCTCCTCCAAATAACTTGTCAAGTTTTGATCTGTACGTTCCACAAACAGATATTAAGCATATGAACCAAAGGGTCCTTCACCTTTAATAAAGAAATGGAAGTTCAATAAATATCAAATAAGTTTTTTTCGAAGAATGTTTTAAATACTAATTTTTTGAAAGTGTACATAATATTAACAGATTTTATCATA